TTCACAAGAGCCTACCAGTGGACCCATAGTGATACTGTCAACACCATCATAAAACATACTGCATAAAACATAAATATTTATTTCACCATAACAACAGACTTACATTCTCAGCAGAGAGCTTAATACAACTGGCATAATGTTCACCCAATTGTGCTGCTGAAAGCCCAGCAATCATCCCTCCCATCGATTTTTGTCTACTTGATCCAGGAGTGGAGGCATCATGTCGACACATCTCAATCTGAGCATTACGCCGTCGTTCCATACGTTCTGCATCGTCGTCATTCTTTGAAAATATTAAAAGAATTACATGCTAACCACTTCCACATAGTTCACTCTTGTGTTCACCCTTGACAATGACAAATATATGTAACAATTATTGTTAAGTATTACTTTGTCACTTGGTTCAAAGTAAACTAACACAAGAATGTGTAACTTAAACCCAAGAACAAGCAACTTTAAAGCATTCAGTTTGGTTAGATTTTTATTTATTTTTTGATTACATACAAACCCTCATACAGTGCTACTCTATGCTTCCCTCCATCTATGCCAATACAAACGTAACATTAAGCATTATGATCCAGTCTGATACACTGCATTATTACCTAGAAAACGTCATCTGTTTACTCGGCATTATTGTTACCTAGGAAACGTCATCTGTTTACTCAGCATTGTTGTTACCTAGGAAACGTTACATTACATTACATTTCATTAAAATACATTACTTTACATTACATTCATCTACCACAGACCCATCTTAAGCGTAACTAATTCAAGTTAAATAAGCAATGTCTTAATCAAACTTTATGCAATTGTAAAGCATGTATAAAGGAAATATTTAGAATAAAGCCAATATATAAACTTCCTTTCCATATAGACGTATTTACGTCAAATTCTCCAGAACCGTGGTTCCACTGTAACTTTTTGATTGCAGACAAACCCTCATACAGTGCCACTATATGCTGCCATGTCATTTTGTTTCCACCAACTATATACAGACAACTCTCTGAAATGCAAATGGTAACACTCCACAAACAAGCAGTTACAGGCAGGCAGGGAGTAACCATAACATCACAAAATCAGTAAAGATAATGATAATTTAATTATTGTTATTTAAAATTCATCTTGGCCACTAGTTACCTGCTATCTCAAGTGTCTTTAGTTTATATTCTACTGTTTACATGCTGTAGCCAGTAAATGGTTAGGTATTGGAGCGATATGAAACCCTAATTCTTGAGGTAAAAAATAAAATATTTCACATCACTGTTCCAACTTCCTCAACCTTCTATTCCTTGCCCCTCTTCTTGCAACCTAGTTGGGCCACAGAGACAGATAGCAACCGAACAGAACCAGTGACCATGGTCATTACCTAAAATCACTGTAACCCACAGGAATCATAACGATTTAGAATTTACTGGATGGATTATCTTCATTACAACATAACATTTGTTCTGTCACTGCCTCTGTATTTTTAACCTGTACAGAATTACTTAAAAGCAGAGCAAGTAGTTATGGGAGGCTGTTTTTTTCTGCCAAAACAAACTTTGACCTTTTGCAATGGTATCAGTGACATCATTACATCACAATTGTCTGGGATCAATGATCTTTGCATAAGTGGGGTGTCTGGGCCCTATTTTGTTCAGGATTCCTGGCACAGTGTCATGGCAACTTCCCCATGCAGAAAAACACACAGACTTCACATAAGGTGTCCTTTACTTTTGTCCAGTTTTAACCAAAACTGGAAGGTGTTGGAAAATTTTGGTAAGATTCTTCAATAAGAAATTTTGTAAAAATCCCTTCGGCAGATTTAAAGTTGCTACATGCACACATACATAGAGAAGACAATAGCATATTCACTGTGAATACACCCTCAAAGTATATTATAAAATTACCCAACTACATTCTTGAAATTATCTTCAGTTAAAATGCAACATGGATTCTGACCATCTATCACACATTTATTTTACACCTTACCTGTCTAAGACTTGCATCACTGTTGGAAAGGTTTAACATGGATTTTCTGCGTAGTGGTGAGGATGTGAGGACCTCAGACTGTCTATAGGACGGAGAGTAATGACTCATCTTGATAAATCGTTTTCTTGAATAAAGTACAGCAAACCCCTAACAAAATTAAAATGAAATATACATGGCAACGTAAATTATAAAATCTGACTACATTTAGTGGTTTGTGTAATATGAACAGATTAGAGGTAGTCACTACAATACGGAACAAAATTGATACGATATTTTAAACTGTTGTTCTTCTGGTGCACATAATCTCTTGTATTAGAAACATCAATCTACACAAGTGCGGTCACATATATTGACCAAGCACAGACATCAGTTAACCTTAAATAATGCATGTAATAATTAGTATATAAAATTCAACACAAAAACTGATTATAACGTACACAATATTGTTGTAACAGTAAATCAGATTTTCGAAAACTAGTTACCTATTTACAAGGTTTTGTAAATTTGACATATATTAAAAAATCCTCGTAAACACATTTTAACCGCCTTTGAAAATATACATTCACACAGATACACATAACAGTCAGGGTCGCCAACGTTACTTATCCAGATTAACAGCCACAGACAATCTGACTATAAAATGCTGGTATTGGCTATAGTGGGAGTTGTCACATCTTTAAAAAAAATTGGTTTGCCTACCTTGGTTGTTTAATTTGTGAATTATGTTACTATTTCTTAAATATTTGAAACCTCATCGGCTTTTGAGTAAGAGACACGTCAAATGTTTGGCATTACGTATAGGAGCATTCAATTTGTGACGTGCCCTTGATATTTATCAGCGCAAATATTCCAATGACTAACTCCAAGCACAAATGATGAGATGGAAATCTTACATTCGTATAAATTTTGGCGAGAGGAATTAAAACACACAACAGACAACTGGGAAGAAATGCTTTTTTGCCTGATAACGATTGCCTCATTCTCTATTCCAAATTCCAGGAGTGTTTCCGATCAAATATCACACTTATTTATTAACTTATCCATAATTATTGTGATATTTTGGAAAATTTTCCTTCTTTCCTAAATGAAAGTAAACAGTCATTTGGGCATGATGGATATTTAAAATTCATTATTAGACACAGCCACTGAAGGAGGCGAGGTGGCACAATATATGGCTGAACTGGAATGACTGCTTACAGCTCTGAATACTGGGCATACAAACTCTTAGGTTTTCAGGTGTTACCAGTAATTGGAACTACAGATAATTTCACGTCTTTCACTGAACCTAAAGCACAGCATTTTGCACCTACACTATTATGGCATGGTATGACAAGAAATGAACTTCTAAATGATCTTGAAAATTCTGCTACATTACAAAAGATTCACTTTAAAAGAAATTCGTAAGCGATATATGTACACTTCAGTGATCAATTTTAAGCCCAAAACTGATTACCTGTTAACCTAAACCGGTTTCCCAAACCATTATGCTCAACCCATTGTCACTACATATGCAGTTACCTACAAATAAGAACTCTTGTTTTTGACAGACTGGACTAATTCAAAATAAGGTACAAAATGATGATAAAGTTTCTCATTCCATAACATAAACTGAACATCGCAATCGAAGAAACAGCACTCCTGTTTCTTATTCTGGAGGTCCCTGGTATAAATCGCTGCCTGAAAACTCGTTATCCTGAATATGGGTTTCTATGGATTACCTCAGTCTCTCCACACAAATTCCACGAAAATATCTTACATTAGTGTAAAATTATATGCCCAACAACTATTAGTAGTGAAAGGTAGTATACTTATACGCCAAACGCGTTTCGACCACAAAGGGGGTCATCTTCGTTGGTCAATCAAAGAGTAGCACAAAATGTTACACTACCAGAATACTTCTAAAACTGCATAGAAAAATAGAGTTAAAAATCCAGTTATAACTTGTGTACAGATCGGAGTATTCCCAATTGCTATGAAACAATGCGGTTATTGGATGTAAAACTATTTTAAAACATGATTAAAATTAAAATTGGTACAAGTCAGACATTTGAAGAAATAAAAGTCACTGCAGACCTTAGTATATTACCCACATTTGTTGTATTGATGTTGATTTCTTACCTTGCCCAGTGGGTTGTGTGGAGGACGTCTAACTTATGAAAGCCTAAACACCCAGTAATTTAACTGTATGTCTCTACTCATCCTTCAAAGCTGATAAGTCAATGCCGATAGCTACTGACAAACCATGGCAATCACAGTAAAACTTCTTTTAATGACGATGATGATTGTCACTAGAATGACAATTACCAACACTTTGGTGCTAAGAGCAAGGGCAAAGCGTAGAAGGAAATTTTGGGTACATCGACTTGTAAGTCAAAGACTGCTGAAAGGCCAATTTCACAAGTTATATGAAGACCTCCGTATGTATCCAAAGAAATTCTTCGGATAGTTTCAAATGAGTAGCAGCAGTTTCGACGAGTTTTTGTTCATGATTGGACCATCTATTACCTACCAAAATACTGTAATGAGAAGGTCTTTGCAGCCAGAAGAAAGATTGGCAGTAACTCTACGGTAAGAAGAAAAAGATATACAGTAAAACCTCTCTAACTTGGACACTTTCGGTTCCACGATAATGTGTCCAACTTACAGAGGTGTCCAGGGTAGAGGGAAAGGAGAAAATAATCCTTTCAAATTGTGGTGTAATGACAATGTGGTAATTGTAGAGTATTACGGAGCCCTTCCCAAAATGGAAATTATTGATAAGAAAAATCAAAAGGGTATATTAAATTTTTACAAATTTTGTTTTCACTAAATTAAACTTGCATGGATAAGCTCAAAGGGAAGGGCACCAACACTTTGCGTCTACCGAAAATGTAATCAATCTATTTAGTTACATAATCTAACTACTGTAATTTCTGTTAACACTGTTTAACTCAGTTGCAAGCACAGTACAGTACAACCCCTCTATAACGCGGTTCGCTATAACGCGGGTACCTCATGTCCCCCATAGCGCAGCAAAAAAAGAAAAAAAAGTTCAATTATCCTTCACACAGAATTCAAAATTATATTAAAATGCAAGCCAAATCAATTATTTATTACTTTTCCCCAAAAATCAATCGTAACATAGTCAAATAAGTATGTATACTCTTAAATGACGATAGTCTATTAATACTGTACGTACCGTACAGTACGTCCAGTACTTGTACCGATTTTTCCGATGCACTCCCGTAATAACGCGGTTTCTCTATTACGCGGGTTTACCCCTGTCCCCCGCGACCCGCGTTATAGTGGGGTTGTACTGTACTGACAAAGTTAAAACTGTACCAGCAATATGTATTGTAGTCCAGTGAAGGGTTCAACAAAAGAATAACTATACACTTTCACTGCTTTCCAATGATGTGTTCAAAGTCTCACACCCTCAACCATAAGCTAATCCTCAGGTAGAAGGCAATCTTCAGTCAGAAATTCAAAACAAAAAAATATGTAACTGTTTCCCATAAAAGCATTGAAGCTAAGTGCATGCGTGCACCTGTCCAACGTACAACAAAAGGGGTGTACAAGATATAGGATATTGTGGATATGTAAAATTATAGGATATTCGCCGGTTCCAATTAAAAGTGTCAAATATAGAGGGGTTTTACTGTACATTTAATTTTATTTATTCTTGTCACTATACTTTTGCATCACCTTATTGTACAGTGCCGGCCTCTTCTCCACTTCGGAAATCAGTCTCCCACCATCACAAACTGTGGTGTCAAGTTCCATTGCGCGTGTAATCGCCACCAAGATCGGGCAAACACTGGTCGGCCATGTGGCTATTTCACCGTTCGTGCGCGCACACAGGTTTGTTTCTTCGTGTTCCATTGCATTCGAAAATAAAGCATATTGCGGCAAGAAAAAACCACGGCGGTAAAACTACCGCATGAGTTCGCTTCCTACTGAAACAGTGCGTTTCATCAATGAGGCAGAAGAATCGCAACGGCCCAAACCGCTCGTGGACGCAGGGTCTTACCCGGTGTCCTACGTGAGAGATTAAATGCGAGTGGTGCGAGTTGCGTGGGTGAAGCGGAAATATCAAACTGGCTGTTTGTGTGGCGCTGTCCTAGGTTCCAGCGAAGCGGTCAGCGGCCAAAGTCCGAGATCAAATATTTTGATATTTTCGCGCGAGTCGCTGTGCTGGTCAGTAAGGCGTATGCGCAAGAAAGCTCTGACCATGCAGTACACTGAATGTACATGCGCAGGAAGACCGTGTGCTTCTATTGCGGTCTCACACGTAGGACACAACAAGCGATTCTCAGCTTCATATGACACCCTCATGCTGCTTATGCAGCTCACATAGCTAGCTTGTTATCGCTTACGTAGGACATTGCGGGTGACCAGCGAGCTGGCAAGTGACCCGGCCGCATTCTGGCCCGGCCTCGTCATGTTCACTCATCTTTAAAATACACTGTTCCATTCTTCATGCTAGGCGACCATCCAGTCTACCAGCGACCTTCTAGGCTCCGTCTCGTACGCCCCCTAACGCAGGCAGGGCCGGTAGGCCATTACACGAGCCTGCTGTGCCACACCATGCCCCAACAGAACAGCACGTTCACCATTTCACACTTGACAACTTCCGACACACAGAAAAAAATAGAAAACCAAAATACAAATCAGGAGCTGTCAGAAGCCCCTGAAAACAAAATTTATTGAACCACGCTCTGCTACCAGTTTGCGCCCACCCGGCGCTCTCAGGACTGAAATAACACCCACCCAAAGTGACACAGTTGACCCAGAGTCCGGGATGTGGTACGGATGTCAGAATTACTGGAGTTAACCCCCCAAAATAAAAAGCACTTTCCAAATACCAAAATATATTAAATGAGTAATTAGAAAGGGACATATAGAAAAAAGGCCAAACAACGAAACAAACAGCAAGCAAACTCACATGGCTCAGGCTCCGGCTGGAATCTCGACCAGTTACCTAGGTGCAAATCAAACACAATTTAGAGCTTGCCCTCGACAGGCCGAGAAATTTGTCCTCTGATTCTCTCCCTGTCAATGCACCCTGCACGGCGGACACACAGCCGGCCGCGCTGTAGGGCACCGAAGCCTGCGTCTCCAAAGATCGTAGAGATGAGGGAGATATACCAATCCGAACCGTGAGGCATGGCTCGCATGGAACAACTAATGCTTTGACCAGGACTGCAAAGTAGCCATTTGTTGATTGTCTGGCCGTAGAAAGTGCATGAAGGTTTGAAACTGGAAAAGTCCAGTAGGTTTCAGAGGAAGGGTTTTACGGCCCTGTAACTGCACAATGACTTCATTCTTACGAGCTGTCTCTGCAGCCTTCACATTCTTTCAATGCCTGGTGTCCATTTGGGACAAACAACACTTTGTTCTCAGTTCTTGGTTTCACATCAGTCATAAAATTATGTATTTAGTCACTTCATGCACTTGATGCACCCACTTTCTAGAACTTAAGCTACACTTCCGGGTGGTGTAGAAACTTAGAGAGGAGGAGTGCATCAATGCTTTTTTCATCATGTAAGAAAGGAAATATTTTATTTATTGAAGCCATTTTATTTAAAGCATTGAAATCCTTTCTGTTTGGCAAACAGTGGTAAGCCCATAATT